CGTTTATGGGGGTTCAGTTTTCAGATTGAAAAAGCAATTACAGTTCTGAAGGGAATTTTTTTTTCCTTTTATGTAGTTGAAAATCCTTTCCCCCTCCCATCTTTTTTTTCTGTAAAAAATTTTCACAAGAGATCTTGTGGCCATCTCTACTGGGAGATGCAGCTTCTGCAGTGGCTGTGTGCTGGTGTTGGAGCTTCTTTCCTTAAGGGATTGAGATGCCTAGGAGCCCTTCTAGTTTTCTTGGGTGAAGGCAAAGCCACCTCTGTGCTACAGCTTTCCCTCAACAGCAAAATAACAGTGATCTTAAAATGACTCCCTGCTGCCCTGAGATGGGAAGGGATAAAGAACCAGGCATCAAGAAACCACCTACTCATTTTCTTTGAAGGTGCTCAGATGCTGCAGTGAATGTGAGATAGCTAGAAAGAGGTTAGAACAAGGGCAAGGTAGGAATTTTTCAGTTAAATGGCTTTTGTCAGAAATTGCAGATATTTCTCAAACAAAGATGTGTTGCCTGAAGGTGCCAGTTCTAATGAAACAGTTTTTCTTGGGAAAGGTTTCTTATGTCCAGAACAGAAAAGAGTGAGAGACCAGAGCAGTGGTGTAGTCAGGCACCAGCCAGGGATGCAAGGAACATAAAAAGAAGTCCTTGTTCTTCTTGGTTCAGACCTATCCTGGAATAGCCAATGGCATGGTGGTAAGGGCACTCATGTGGTGCTCAGGAGAATTGCAGAGCAAGGACCTGAACCTCTGTCTCCCAACCCAGACTGCTCTACCCTTGGGCTATCAAGTATTCTAGGGTGGATCAGTCGGTCTCTCTTCTCCCGTCCTCTCAGGAACACAGCAAAGGTTTGGTTTTTGTCCCAGTGCAGAGCAGGGACATTTCTGATGTCTTAGTTTTGTGAGACAGGAAATCATTTCCTTCACCAGCTCTACAAGCCTTTTGCCTCTACAAGCCTTTTGCTTTATCACCTAGAGCTCCAGAGCTGCTTTATCACCTAGAGTTCAGGCTACTGCCTCCTCACTTGTTCCTGCTACTGGTTCTCAGCTCAGTGCCCTTGAGATACCAATCATCCCTCTGGAGGACAATCCCAGGTACAAAGCAGCAGGTGTCAGTGCTGGCTGCCAGCCTAAAAAAGCAGCCGGGTTACTGGGGTACCACCAGGGTGGCACTGCAAGCCCCATTCCTCCTTCCCCATTGACAATTAATGCCATCCATAACTCTGCTACCAGAGAACTTTTTGCAGGTCCTAGTATCTAAGCTCCTTGTCCCATTCCCACCCAGACTCTGCCAGTCCATTGGAATGGGTTGACACATTGTATAGTGATTTTTGTATCAGAGGGAGGGGTTGAGAGTGTAGTGGCTCCTGCTAAAGCACCAGGCTTGCTAACAGTGGAGGTGGGTAGTGGTTGTAATTAGCAGGGATCCGGGTTTTCTGTTTCCCACGGAAAAACGGAGTAAAACACAGATTTCCCCCTTTACCAGAGGAAATCATGGATTTCTCATTTTAGCAGAGAAATCCATGGATTTTGGTTTTGCAAAGAGCCCTCCGCAGGCTGGCAGAGTTCCAGCCTGCAAGGGGCTGGGAGGGAGTGGGAGGAGGGCAGGCAGGCAGGGTGTGCCATGTGCATGTGTATATGGCTGCCAGGCAGCCTGGAGAGCAGTTCTCACAGGTAAGTGGAAGGGGAGGTGGGGAGAATTGAGGCCCCCATAGGCAGGGAGAGAGGGAGTTGGGTAGGGCTGGAGCTGCTGCCCAGCCGGGCGGTACATGGGGCTTGCGGCCCAGGGCTGCAATATGTGACCGCAGGGCCCTGGTGGAGAGCAGGGTGGGTTTGTGGGCAGCTTGTCTGGGAGGCAGGGGGTGGGGCCAGCTCCCCACCACTGCGCACTCCTGGGGGGACAAGAGGGACCCATGCCCCCAGATCCTGTGGGGTGTGCTGCTCACTATGGGCTCAGGCTCCTGCTCTTCTGCCCTCCTCCCAGGCCACCACAGCCCAGGAGGTGCAATTTGGCACTGCAGGGCACAGCAGGGCCACACAGGAAAGCTGCTAGCCCCTGTGAGCTCCGTGCTGCCCTAGCAATGCGTCGTCTGTGTGCGTGGCAGTAGCAGGGGCAGTGGCTCAGGGTTGCATGCGGGGGACAAGTCACCAGGGCAGCGTGGAGCTCGCAGCAGCAAGAAGCTTTCCTGTGTGGCTCTGCTCCGCCCTGCACTGCCAGGTTGCACCCACAGGGCTGCAGAGGCCCCAGGGGAGGGTAACAGGGTGGGAGTCTGAGCTAGCAGGTGGGCAGCCTGCCCCACACACAGATCTGGGGGGCACAGGTCCCCTTGCCCCCCCAGGAGTGTGTGCAGTGGTGGGAAGCCATGACCCCCCTTCCCTGCCTGAGTTTGCAGCCGGGGGGAGCCAGGCTCCACTTCGCTGCAGCAGCTGCTGCCTTCTGCCAAGGGCAGGGGGTGGACTGGGGTCCCTGGCCCCATACCCCTGGCACCTGAGGACCCCCTCCGGCAGGGTTGGGAGGAGCAGGAGCAGTGGGTGGGGGGCAAGGGGCACCAGCAGGGCTGTGGGGGCTGTGGGTGGGGAGCAGGGTCAGGGGGCTGTGGTGGGGGAGTGAGGGGCATGAGTAGGGCAGGGTACCAGCAAGGCCCGGGGGGCGTTAACCAGGGAAAATCCGGATCCTTGGTAATTAGAGCCTGTGAACACAGACAGTCCATCTTCCTTGGAAACAAGTTTGACTCCTGCCTGATAAAATCTAGCTTTGCCCTTGTAAACATACAAAGCAGAACATCTCTGTGATACATACACACAGCTGTGCCCTCTGTGTCAGCAAGGATGCATCTGAAGAACCTACTATTTACTGACAGGATATGAGAGGAGAATTTTTTGGAGTCTTGAACCTCTTTCACGGCTCCTCCCCCATTCCCAGGCAGCACAAATATATACAGGGTAGGGATCTAGTGGTATTAAACCTCGGGGTAACATTCTGCTCAGCCTTATGGGAGTGTGTGGAAGAAGCACGGACAGCCATCCTACAACTTCTGGGAGCCTTCACACCTTTTGTACTCGGGCAGCTCAAGGCTTCAGTGAGATTCCCCAGTGTAAGGGGTGTAAAAAACTTTTTCATCTTGGGTCAGGTTTTCATAAATCAGCATAGCTTCCCCAAATCTAAAGAAACTATGCCACCGTATAGCAGCAGAGGTATTAGCGCACTACCTTGCCTCTTTATATGTGGGCTGCTGGTTTAGTATCTTGGAGACAGTGTCATTTTGGGCATCAGGACTTGTATGAAGTCAGTGTGAGCTGTCTAATGGTGTCTGCTACTTTAATGATTCTGGTATATATCTGTCCCTATTAGGGCTGTGCAAAGCTTAGGTCCCTGATTTGATTTGGTCTGATTAGGTGGCCAAATTTCCAAATCCGAATTGAATCAGAGGACTTTTTAATCTCTCTGAATCAATTATTTCCGGTCCACTTCTGGGTTTGCTGCTGAGCACTCTAGAGAGCCCCTAGTGCTCTTGTGGGACACTCCAAGCACCCCAGCACGGCAGCGATCACAAGCTGAACTGCTGCTACATACTCAAGGTATGTAGAAAAAAAACTTTTAAAGCTGTGCCTGTGCCTGTGCCTGAATTGCTGATTCACTGAATCAGCATTGAATCATCAGATTCGGATTCGGCCAAATCGAATCAGGGACAGTGATCCAAATCAATGGATTGAATCACTGTCCCCGATTCAGGCCGAATCCGAATCCAAATTGAATAGGGCCCATTTCGCACAGCCCTAGTTCCTATCTGTGTCTTGGGAGAGATTGGGATGTTTAATTTGAGGGGTTCAAATAGCTAAAAACTTCCAGTTTCTACAGGGTGCATCTGTTCCCAGGTAGGGTGCGTGTGTGCGCGCACATATGCATGCTAACATTCAAATGCTTTGAGGTTTGCTTAAAATCATAAGATTTAAAAATAAATAAATCTTAGGTTAATTTAGGTGCTGTCTGGTGTTTAAGTGTCTAGAAATCACATTTTCCAGCTTTCCTCCACAGCTAGAAACTTCCTTTGTTTTGTTTAAGATGAAAGCTGGGAGCCTCCCATCATCACAGGGCTCTGGGAGTTGAGGGCTTAAGAAAAGCACAGCAAATCAGAAGAGCTGGAAGTGCAGAGCAAGTGTCAAGTTACAGAATGAGGAGAGGGCTCCTGCCTCATTCACTTCCCTTCATGTTCATTATAGGTAGGGACCTACCAAAACGGCGATTTTGTGGATTTTATGGAAATCACAACATCTGGCATGGTCCACAAAATTGGGCAATGCCCTGTGAAATCTTAGGAAAAAAAAAATTACTGACAATAAAATGCTGGCTCCCCAGTGAAAGCCAGCAGTTCTCATGGCGCAGCAGCCTGGCTGTGCAGCCTGATGGGAGGAGGAAGGGGTAGGGGAAAGGGAGAGCTGCTGGCACAAACGGGAGCCCAAGATCGCTGCTGCTTCCACCTCTTGCCTCGGACTGGCTGAGGGGGCTGCTTGTCATGTGGCCCCACCCCTCTCCACCAATCGGCAGCAACTATAGGGCTTCCTGATTCAGCCTGGCAACTATTTAAACACAATGAAAGGCCCTCAACTTCCCCACAGATGTGTAAACATATTGCAAAGAGGTCTGGTTTACCCTGACAATGCAGGTGAACCACACCAGAAGGCTCCCCTGAAATGCCTTCCACAGATGATGTCATGGGAGCATTTTTCCATGATCATGGTTGCCTTCATCCTCCGAGCACTCATTCTCTTGGGTAGGACATGGCCACTGTGTGGCCAAGAGTCTCTGCCTTACTTTCCGCCTCCGAGGGTTGTTTCACAACATACTCTTGCTCCTCTGACCACAATCCCAAGAGTCTTCTCCATTTCTGCTACTCTCTTCTAAAAACTAATTTAGACACTTGACACATTTAATGTATTAATAAAAGGCCTCATACTTTTGATTTATGTCATTAGGCAGAATAGAGTGAATTAAACACGTTGTGGATAAGGATAAATCTCTTAAAAGCTTGCCTTTAATGAGACCAAACTGTGGTTTCTATGCACCCAGTAAAGTCCTTTAATACACAGTAAAGGAATAAATACAAATTTCATCAGGCAAAGCAATCAGAGAAATGATCACTAGACTTGCTAATAGTATCTAAACCCGTTAAATGAATGAATCTCTTGCACACAAATGTCTACCAATATAAAAAGAACTTCTTTAGCAAATGTTTGACAAATGTCAGCTTTAACTCCTATAGTATATATAAGATAGTTCAATAGTTTGGGATTCTCTAGTCAAGTTTTTTTTTTTTTTAGACACAGTATCTCAAGTTCCCTGTTGAAAACAGATGAGCAGGATGACTGAGAAACTTTATTTCTTAGGGAAAAAATATCCAGTGAACTTCAATCTTTTTCCTGCTCTTGTGCTGTTGATAGACCAATCTTAGTTTCTGGAAATGGGTATGATATTTTCAGGCAAATAGTTTATACCAACAAACTTAAGCCTGCAAGTTGTTCTTTTCAGTTGTTTGCTATTTGTGGCATGTGATTGGTCACCAGTCACATGATATTGTTTCTCTCCTCCCCACTGGATATCTAGAATATTTAATAGAGTAGAAAAAATGAGTAACAAATAGGAAATAGGAAATACTGTTCATGCAAGGGTATTGCTAAATGAATCAAAAAATGGGCAGAAACAGCCTAAACAAAATGCCAGGTAAAACAATGACTTTGAGCCCACAAGCTTATCTAATATCTCTCACAGCTAGGGAAAAGGTCTGGTAAAAGATATTATCAGACAAACCTTGCTTCTTGCATCTTTCCTGGGCTATCACAGCTACAACAACATTCCAACCCTACTTCAAATAGGGGAATTTGTTTCAAGTACAGTTAGCATGCAGGCATTGGAGATCAGGGTGACGCGTAAGGGGTGCATGTGGGTACACGTGCACTCCCTGAGTGTGGCGGTGCACCCCCTACAAAAAGGTGTTGCCAACAGTGTTGGCAGCATTTGCAGGCGGTCGCCACTCCCTCCCTCCCCTGTCCCCGCTGCCGGCGGCATCTGCTAGCAATAAGTCACCCCTGGTCAGTGCTCACCCCCCAACTGCCAACAGTGCCAGCGGCATCTACAGGAGCTCTCACTTACCGTCACCATACTCCCGCCGCTGTCACCATGCTCCCACTGCTGCCGTGCCTCCCCAGCTGCTGGGGGCACATGTTGTTCATGATTGGAGAGAATAATTTTTCCACCTCTTGAATATCAGAGAAATCAGAATTAAAAATCTTAGGGTTAGAAGGGGCCTCAGGATGTCATCTACTCCAGCCCCTTGCTCAAACCAGGACCATCTCCAACTAGATCATTCCAGCCAGGGCTTTGTTGAGTCAGGCCTTAAAAAATTCCATGGATGGAGATTCTACCGCCTCTCTAGGTAATCTGTTCCAGTGTTTTACCACCCTCCTAATGGGAGAGTTTTTCCTAATTGTAACACAAGGGCACCCTACGGGTCGCCGTGCTCTCCCCGAACTCCCCTTTACTGTGCCAAGTTGCCTAAAGGGCACCCTCTATTCTCGCCTGCCACAATTTTGATGTTAGATATATATTATAGGGAGGTTGCCTTTTCGTCCTCTTGGGACACGGTTATCCTACTGTACCCGGATCCTGTCTGGTAATGGGTGCTTCGGGGCACCCTAGCCTTATGGGCTATGCATGGCTCCAACCATCCCTTTACCATGCCCCAAGCCTCGCAGATGTGACAGACGTTGTTCAGTCTCGCCCCGCACCTCACGGGGTGCTCGGGCTCTCCGCAGCCCTGTCTCTCCCTGCACCCTCTCTGGAGCGTCTCAATCACTGCTCCCTCTCTGGGGCTGGGACCCCACACTACGGTGAGCCCCCTATCAGGCCTCCTCCAACCCCTAATAGCCTCACCCAAACCTCCAGTGAAAAACAGCAAACAAAACACAAGCCCCTGGGCTATAACATAAACTCTAGCTGCTCGGCTATAACATTATTCCAGCCACCCTTAGGGTGCTCCATCTCTCACCACTATCAAGCTGCTCGTGCATTCAGGCCTCTTCCCTCTGCTCTCTCAGGCAGAGCTCCTTCCCCCTTGGCTGCCAGCAGGGAACCCCCCCCAGCCTCAGGCCTGGGATTTATATAGCAGCCAGGTCCTGCCGCTTCCGGTCACAGGCCAGGTGCAGGTGCAGCCACTTCCCTCATTAAGCGGTTGTCCCTGCAACCTGCACCTGGGTTCCTATCCCTGCTCTCAAAGTAGCAGGCACCTTAGTGCCCTGCTACACACCTCCCCGCCTTAAGACCCCGACTCACCAGGGCGGTCTTTGCTGTTGTTCTTCTTAAGCTCTCATTCTTGCTCGCCGACCATTCATCTATACAGAGGCCGGCGGGGGGGGGCAGTGTTCAGGCACCCCCTACTCACCTTTTCCTCAAGGTGCACCATGTGGGATTTCATAGGAGTTGCCCCGCCACGGGCAGTCCCCCCACATTAGCCAACCTTGGTAGGCTGAACTTTCAGTCGGTTGAGCTCTCGCCTTCCAGTTATCCTCTCCTCCCATGCTAGTATCCTGTGAGAAAGGTGGTGGGGGGAAGAAAAGACATTTCCCTTGCTCCCCTAAAACTGAGCCCCGTTGTGTGCTGGCTTACACTTTCTCATTTCTCCCCCGGGAGTTCTTGTCTACTTTTTGGGGTTCTTCTCTCCCTCACATCTAGCTTGCCTATATTCGACCCCTGTATACCCTGCTCTGTTTCCTAGGGCCAGTTGTGGGGTTTCTCATCTCCTTATGACTTTCTGGAGATCCTGAAGACTCCCCCAGATCTTCCACTGTCTCTCCAACGTTTTCTGGGCATCTTCTCCCCTCCACAACTCTACCTTCCCCTGGCCAGTAGATCTTCCTCCCAGTCCCTTATAGATCTTTACATAGGCTACCCGTCCAACTTTCTCTTCAATGAGTTTCCTCAACATCCACCACTTAAGCTGCCTAGGGATATTCCTCACATAGATTTGCGGTCTCTTTTCAGGCTTCGGTCCCCCCTTTGGGTTTTGTTCCCTTCTCCTCATCTCCTGCCCTTTTCCCCAGTTTTCTTGTCTGTGCTCCACTGATCCTTTTTTTGCGGGGCCTATCTTTGATCCATATCGCCCCAGGCCCCGGGCCGCCTGTGTATAGTCCTGACAAATTAAGCAGGAGGTCTCACTCCTTGGGGTCGTCTGTTTACCCTTCCCTGCCATCCCCACATCTACCTGGTCCACTCCACCTGGCTGCCCCTGACTGGGTCCTGTAACTCTTCCCTTAGCCTGGGGTCTGAATAGTTCTCCCAGCTGGCGTCTTAGCCGGTTCATCTCCATCGCCTGGTGCTTCTGCCATTGGTCCCATCTCCGGGTCCAATACTCTAAGATTGCTGGCGGGGCCTGCTTTTATAAGGTCACAGAATTCTCCCCTGCAGATTTTTCCTTCCTGGTGCTTTTTCCGGACTGTCCTGTTCCAGCCTCCTCCCTAGGATCCCCTGGGCCTAGGTCTCTGGGGAACTTTGTTGGCTCGAGATACTTCAGAGGTCTCGATCGGATTATTTCTAACAGTGCCTCTGCCTCCTTCAAGGACCCCTTCAATATTTCCATCTCTCTATACTGTTCTTGGTGTTCATACTTGGCGGCCCGCATGTGCTCCACTAGCTGGATTCCCAGAGCCTCCAACCTTGCCCGCATTATGTTCGCGGTATTTAAGGTCTGAGGTTTCTGCCCTGCTTCTACGAGGTTTGCTACGCATCTTTCGTCTAACCTCTCACCCTCCCCCAGGTCTTGGATCTTTTTAACCATCTGGTCATTTGCTTCTTGTAACCTTCTTCTCTCAGTCTCCAGCCCCTGGATTTCTTGCCTCATCGTTTGCACTTCCAGCTGTAACTGCACACTGTCTGCCCTTGTCCCCTCTTCCTTAGCTAGGCTGTCTTCTAGGAGGGTTTTAAGGGATTGTGCCTGTTGCCCAAGTTGGTCTTTTTCCCCCTCCATACTCCGTAAGTGGGTCTGTAACCAGTCATTCTCTCTCTCCTTGGTCTTTAGCTCCCCTTCCAGGGACAGCCTTTGTTTCTCCACTGCCTCATAACCTGCCCTGAAAATGTTCATCTTTTCCACCTCCTGCAAGAGCACTTTGTCGGTCTCTGCTGCCTGTGTATGGCTCTCCATCAGCTTGTCCCGCATTTCCTGTGCAAGATCTTCTGCACGTATACCTCTCTGTTGCCAACTCTCTAACTCCTCCTGTAATTCCCTTATCTGGTCCTCTTGGCTATGGACTTCCTTTTGGAGTACCCCTATCAGGCCTCTTGCTACCTGTAATTTCTGTAGCACCTTCTTATGTTCTTCTACCTGTTTGGTGCCGGCTTCCAGAGACTTTGTCCTCCCTGCTATCATTTCCTCCTGCAATTTTTTCAATTTCTCTTCCCTCTCCCAGCTCCTCTGAGCCTCCTGGGAAATGAGCTGTTCAATTGCCTGAGTCTTTTCTGCCTCTACCGCCACTAGGTGCCTGATTTCTTTCGATCCTCCCTCTTTCTTGCCCGACTGTACCTGTAGCTCTAATGCGGAGGCCTTCGCCTCCGCTCTCTCTTCCTGGGCTTTTGCTATTCCTAGCTCCCACTCCAACCGGGTCATCTTCTCCTCCATCTCATCCGTCCTCAGTTGCCAGGCCATGTTTTCCTGTCTCTGGCCTCCCATATTTCCTGCCTGAGCCATAACTATCCCGGCCTTGTTTTTCTGGGTCGGGGCCTCAGTCTTACTCCACGAGATCCCGCGCAATGGGAATTTCTCATTCCACCCAACTTTGCAGGCTGCAGCCCCACTGCTTTCCTATAACTCCGTCCTAAGTTATTCTTGCCCACAGGTCCATTCTCCCTCCTTGTTCACGCACGGCTGAGCCTTCCTGGCCAATGCACCGCTGTAACATGAGGGCATCCTAGGGGTCACCGTGGTCTCCCCAAACACCCCCTTACCATGCCAAGTTGCCTAAAGGGCACCCTCTATTCTCGCCCGCCATGTCTTTGATGTTATATATATATTATAGGGAGGCTGCCTTTTTGTCCTCTTGGGACGCGGTTATCCTACTGTACACGGGCCCCATCCAGTAATGGGTGCTTCGGGGTACCCTCGCCTTATGGGCTATGTGTGGCTCCAACCATCCCTTTACCACACCCCAAGCCTCGCAGATGTAATGGACGTTGTTCAGTCTCACCCGACGTCTCACTAGTACTCGGGCTCTCCACAGCCTTGTCTCGCCCTGCGCCTCACTGGCACTCGAGCTTTCCACAGCCCTGTCTAGCACTGCCCCTTCTCTGGGGCTTCTGAATCGCTGCCCCCTCTCTGGGACTGGTGACCCCACGCTACCGTGAGCCCCCTATGAGGCCTCCTCCAACCCCTAATAGCCTCACCCAAACCTTTGGTGAAAAACAGCAAACAAAACACAAGCCCCTGGGCTATAACATAAACGCTAGCTGCTCGGCTATAACGTTATTCCAGCCACCCCTGGGGTGCTCCATCTCTCACCACTATCAAGCTGCTCGTGCATTCAGGCCTCTTCCCTCTGCTCGCTCAGGCAGAACTCCTTCCCCCTTGGCTGCCAGCAGGGAACCCCCCCCAGCCTCAGGCCGGCCTAGGGCGGGGGTTTTATATGGGAGCCGGGCCCTCCCCCTCCCAGCCACAGGCCAGGTGCAGGTGCGGCCACTTCCCTCATTAAGCAGTTGTCCCCGCAACCTGCACCTGGGTTCCTATCCCTGCTTTCAAAGTAGCAGGCACTTTAGTGCCCTGCTACACTAATATCTAACCTAAACTTCCTTTGCTGCCACCTGAGGTTAATGCTCCTTGCTCTGTCATCTGTCCCCAGTGAGAACAGTCTAGCTCCATCCTCTTTGGAACCATCCTTCAGATAGTTAAAGGTTGCTATCAAATGCCACTCTGTCTTCTCTAGACTAAATAAGCCCAGTTCCCTCAGCCTCTCCTCAGAAGTCACATGCCCCAGCCCCAAAACCTTTTTCTTTCCCCCCACTAGACTCTCTCCAACTTGTCCACATCCTTTCAGGGTGGGGAGGGAGGGAACAAAACTGGACACAGGACTCCAGATGTTGTTGGCTCACCACTGCAGAATAGAGGGGAATAATTACTTCTATTGATCTACTGGCAATGCTCCTACTAATGTAGCCTACTATGCTGTTAGCCTTTGTACCCATTTGAGCCAAAACAGCCGGTGTCTTATACTCTTGAACCAAGTTGTTGTGTTCTGGCAGTCTTCTGCAGTCAACATCTGGGTACTTCGGGCTGCCCCAGGGGTGGGCAATTATTTTGGGCAGAGGGCCACTTACTGAGTTTTGGCAAGCCATTGAGGGCCATATGACAGGCAGCCCAGGGCAGATAACTATTAATTTTCTAAATTTTTTTAGGGGCTCCACGGGCCAGATAGAATGGCCTGGCAGGCTGCATCTGGCCCCCAGGCTGCATTTTGCCCGCCCCTGGGCTACCTGCTCATGGTAAGTTTCCCTTAATTTGGCCACCATGTCTTGATCTCAAAAAAAAAAAAAATGGAATAAAGAAAAGGGAGGTTCCTGTTCTGGTAAAAACTATCATGAGCATGTTCCCATTGATGATGTTTCTTGGGGCTCCACCTCCCCTACATCCCATCAATGTGCCAACTGAGATTATTATGGCTCCAGTTGTTGCAAATTGTGAGCAGGCAGTATCTGGGTCTTCCTTCACCCTTAATTTACTCTCAGTCCTCTTTGTGTCGGCAGGGGGGTGGGGGGGGGGGGGAAGACGTACACATATAAATTAATCAGGGGTACCTGGGAGCCTGATAGCATAGCTCATCCTATGCCTAGAAGTGGTTCTGAATTTTCCTGCTCACTCAATTAATTCATGGGCATGTAAATAAAAAATGCAATCAATTCATAGGCAATACAATAAATAATAATCCCAACTGAAAATTCAGTGATCAATTCACCAGTTGTTAGGAGAATTCACCCCACATCAACTATGCCCACAACATGGGGTTGTGTATCCTTACCTTCAATCATTTGTCACCCTTAGTTTAATATAAAAGGTCTTGCATGTGCTGTAAGCCAGTACCTCTACCCTAAGTTTTTCCCGCTTTTCTTTGTTTTTTCTTTACTTTACCCTTCTTGTGGAGTGTTCGTCCTCTGGACTTCAGCACGAGGGTTTCCCAGTGTCCTCTTCCAGGATCTTGTTTTCTGGCATCTGGACATGGGCTTCCAAGCAGAGTTTTTTGCTCCTTTGTCCTACACTGTCAGATGGCTGGAGACCCCTCCGGGTCTTCAGTCTGGGGAACTGGCATGGCTGTTTAGCCTGCTCCCTGCTAGGGTGAGCAATGCAGGCATATTGCCCTCTTCTCCCCAGCTGACCAGTGTTCCTGATCCTTTAAGCTCCAATGGCGGGTTTGGGTATATGATATCACAACCTGTCCGTTTCTTAATCTTCAGTGTGCAGGTGCTCACAAAGTGTGGTGTTGGTGTTGTGCACTGCTCTGGTCCTTCCGGCTCCACACCACCTGGTGAGAATTAGCCCTTTCCTGCCCTTGCCAGGCAAAACAAGTAGGTGATTGGCGTCTTGGCTGAACTGCCTGTCTCCCTGTCACTGTGTGTCACTGGGTGTGCTTGGTTGCTCAGTGACAGCCTTCTTGGCAACGAGGGCCCACTGCTGACTCATATCCATCTCATTGTAAACTGTAAGCCCCAGGTGCTTTTCTGCAGATCTGCTGCCTAGCCATTTGGTCCCAAGTCTGTACTGGTGCATGGGATTGTTCCATCACTTGTCCTTGTTGAACCTCATGAGATTTCTTTTGACCCAATCCTCTAATTTGTCTAGGTCTCTCTGAATCAGGTTGGTCAGGCATGACTTGCCCTTGGTGAATCCATGCTGACTGTTTCTAATCACCTTCTCCTCCAAGTGCTTAGAAATGGATTTCTTGAGGACCTGCTCCATGATTTTGCCAGGGACTGAGGTGAGGCTGACCAGTCTGTAGTTCCCTGGATCCTCTTTCTTATCACATGGGACTCTTCGGCCTAGAAAAGTGCAGGCTCAGGGGTGACCTGGTAGCTGCTTATAAATACACAAGGGGTGTGCATCAGGATCTGGGAGAGTGTCTGTTCACCAGAGCACCCCAAAGGAAAACAAGGACCAACAGCCATAAAGTCCTCCAAGACCATTCTAGGCTGGACATAAGAAAAAAATGTCTTTACTGTCCAAGCCTCAAAGACCTGCAATAGCCTCCCTCCAGAAGTGGTGCAGGCACCTACACTGAACTCATTTGAGAAATGTTTGGATGTTTATCTTGCTGGGATCCTTTGACCCTAGCTGACTTCCTGCCCCTGGGGCAGGGCTTGACTTGATGATCTTTACATCCCTTCCAGCCCTAATGTCTATGAAATCTTCTCTTTCTTAAAGATGGGCACTATATTTGCCCTTTTCCAATCATCCAAACCATCCTCTCCTGATTACCATGAATTTTCAAAGATAATGGCCAATGGCTCTGCAATCACATTTGCCACTCCCTTTGCGCCCGCTAGTGCATTGCTTCTAGCCCCATGGATTGTGTGTGCCCAGTTTTTCTAAATAGTTTCTAACCTGTTTTTTTGCCAATGTTGGCTGTTCAGTTCACCTCCTCTCCAAACTGTGCTGCCTGGTGCAGTAGTCTGGGAGCTGTCTTTGCCTGTGCAAACCAAGGTAAAAAAAAGCATTGAGGACTTCAGCCTATTCCGCATCATTTGTCACTAGGTTGCCTCCCCCATTCAGTAAGGGACCCACACTTTCCCTGATCTTCCTCTTGTTGCTGACATACTTGTAGAAACCCTTCGTTACCCTTCATGTCCCTTGCTAGCTGTAATTCCAATTGTGCTTTGGCCTTCCTGATTTCAGGAAAGAGAGAGAGACTTGAAATCTGGTTGTATCAGCCATGTGACTCAGATAAACTTTTTCCCATTCTGATGAAAATCAGTTGTGACTTGTCAGTGAGAATACAAAGAATTAAAAAATATACATGGCACATGCCACTAGATTTTGCAGTAGGATCTCCTAAGGCTGACATTGTGCTACTGGTTTTGGACTTGCATGTTCATCCTTGGACTCAGCTTTTTTCCATATACTGTGGGCAAGGAGGCATGAAATGAAGAAAGGGCTCCTGTCCTGCTGATTGCACACAGGCACCAAACAGAGCTTTCAGCCACTATCTCATAAATGAGCTGAAGGCAGTGGAATTTCTTTGTTTCTTCAATTTTCTTTTTAAAGCTACTTGCCAGACAGCAGAGACACACTGTGATGAAAGCAGGAGCCTCTTCCTCAGTCCATCACATCTTTTCTATTGCATATGGGACCCTTTGGAGCCTCTTCCCATATGCCACTTCCATCCTACTACTGACTGACATGCATTTCCGACAGGACCCCTGGAGACTAACATCCATTTTATTCCCAGGACAGGGCAGGCAAGGGCAGCAGCATGGCTAGACTGTTTTGAACCCTAACCTGAAAGAACCATTCTGTCAATGAAAGGGGAGGTCAAACTCTGTAGCCAGTTTTGCTCCAGTAACGGTGCTGAGTTTGTGGCTGCTTTCCTGTGACATTGACTCTTGCCTCCTAAGAGATGGACAGTCCTTAACTGCAGCACTTGATACCCACTAGTTCATATCAGAGCCTCTTGAAGACATAGTTCCCTAGACCCACTAGGAACTGATCTTTGCTGAGAAGCAGACTTGCTGGGCTAGCAGAGACTACAGCTCAGTTGTAGGCCAACATGAAGTTGTAGGAGCTGGAACAACTAATGATTTTTCAGCAATCCATGTAGAGTGTGCAGGGGAAGAAGAGATGGTCTAATCTATTGTCGGGACCCAGGGCAGCCGGCCAGCAGCTCTCCCTGACTCCCACCCGGGCAGTTAAGGGTCCGTCAGGCGGGTACTTGTGACGCATGGAGTGGAATTAATTAGGCGGACGCTTATCGGTTGCAAAGCAAGATTATTTACTCACGCCGTCAAGGTGGTGAAAGACGGAGGTCAGATATACTTGGTTAGTTACAGCTTAAGGTTCGTAGGTCGTAGGTCAGTCTGCATAAGAGTTCATTGGTCGGGCAGAGAAAAGGTCGGGCCAGCAGGTCGTTGATTTACGTCTGAGATTGGGTCGAGACGTGAGGGGGCCACTGGCAAGTGATCAAGTTGTCGGTTACTCTGATATGTGTGATCAGAGGTCTCCAAGGTTCGTACGGAGGTCCCCCTTCTTCTTCTTCTTTGCGGAAGTGTATTGGCGTTTTATTTGTGTAATAGCCAATTGCTTTTCGCCACGTCATAAATTTAATTAGAATCTCCAATTATCTAGCGGTCTTCGCTAGGGTGTTATCATAGGGTTACTCCTTGTTTTCTTTGACCAATTATAATGATTTATGTACAGCACAGAAGGCTAAGTTCTATCTCTGTTAGTGGTGCAGCAATAAATTTCTTTTTGACATGCGCAGCAAAAAGGCGGTTACTGGCAAAAACTTTT